TGTTTAAAGGCATGCCAATGTGTTATTGCGCAGGATTTGGAAATATGATTTTTAAGGTCTACTAATCATATGCAAGTGAATGAGTCAACTCTTATGATTACTCTGGTTTAGAAGACCTGGTCAGCGTTGCTTCGATTTGATTGAAGTCACACTGGTCCTCTTCGATCTTGTAGTCCGCAGTTCCACGATACCTGTTTTCCAACACGCCTAGGTGCACATTTCCTGTTAAGTTTAATAAGGTGTTGTTCCGATATTTCATGCAATTCCTATGAATTCCGTTCTTGAAAGGGCGTACCGATATCACATGTCTCCACTCTAACTGTGTCGTTCCTGTCGTCGTTATGGGTTACCAGATATTTGTTAGCTATTATATGTCATTTTACCTAAGTTTTGTGCATTTCAGGGTACAGTTCAATGATTCCAGCAGTTTTGTCATTTTTCAAGCATTTCTATATCTTCCATAGCTTCGTCTATAGCAAGACTAACGTTTATTGTCTGTTGGTCTTCTTCAGAGTCTTCACACGTCTACCAGAGGTTAAGGAGTTCATTAAATACTCTAGCCATCATTGAACTACGTCATTTTCCTTGAGAAAAGGGCGCCCGGACTTATCCTTCGGCAATCCGAAGCTGCCTTTTTTCTTCTACGGAGAGAGAGTATGGTTTTTCTTAATGAATTGTTTGTCCTCTGGAAATTCAACTCTCGAATATGAACTAAACTATTTAAATTATAACATAAAGAAATATGTGTAAGTATTTGCGCTGTATTCGTATTTAATGACTGTAAACTTTACTTCCAAAAAGATTGTGCCTTTATCATCTTTGAAATTCTTTGGCAGAAAACCGGCTTCTTTGAAATGTACTGCGGCTACTTTGAAAATAACTTTACCTGTGCAATAGAGGAATTTTTGCACTCTCAAGGCACTGTCACTATATTCCTCCACAATATATTTAATTCTGTTTTACGGTTTTTTCCTGAAACCTGTGGAAGTTCTCTGTAGCTTTTGGATTTACCTTGTCTGAAGTGTCCGTTCGACCAGAGGAATTTCAGCACTTTACTGGTACCAATGATATAAATGTCTCGATTATTACATTCTCGTAGCAAGAGGTATGTATGCACAAATATGTACACCAGTTAATTGGACTAATAAGCAACAGATTCAAGACGGCGCGGCCTGCACGGTTTCCGAGACATCCAATTCCAATGTACGAGAGCAATGATGATTTTCTGAACGAAGAATTTCACTTTTATTGTACTTGCAAATCATAATTCCCCAGCTGAAGTTTATTGTAGTTTTGCAGCACATTGTGCAAAGCTTTAGTATGCAAATTTTTACGTTTCTGAATGACTGCTGTTGTAATTTAATTCCACTTAGTCGTGGCGCCTAACAGGTAGTTTATTTTTATTTGTGTTTGCATCCCTTTAGTATATTTTTATTATATTTCTTAAAAAATCATATCTGGCTTTCGTTTTAAAGTTAATATTGCATACTCTGATGTAAAGCTTTTGTTTAGAAACTTAATATTGTCTTTCAGGCATTATCATTGTTTCAACGTTTCCGATAGTTTTAAAGTTGAACGCTAGTCATGAGGAATGAAGCGGTTGGCGAAGTTGACGACAAC